TGTCTGAGTCATTTTCAGGAGAAAAATAAAACCCTGCTTCAATCTTCTTTTCAACAAAAAGAATGTCAATGTTTTGACATTTTACAAAAAAAAAAAAAAAAAAAAAGAGGAAAAATAAATTTAAAATGCGCTGGCGTTGGAAAAGTTCCAAAGCCATATCATGCACCGGTGGGGTAGGCAAAAAAGAAAAGAAATAAATAAATGAAATTGATTACTTGCCTACTGAAGTTACAAATTTCCTCCCTTTTTTCCCCTGTATTAGACCCAAGATGATAGATGGGGAAGAATTAAGAATTTGAAATGTTTCTGGAACGAAACAGGGCAGTGCGGCCTAATCTGGTATCTAGGAGAGAGAGGACCTCCATGGAAGAAAAGGGCAAACTATAAGTCTTTTGTGTGTCAGAGATCAGAGATCCCTGGAAGCTTGGCATTCAGAAAACAATTGGCCATCAACAGACACAGAGAGATAAGCAACATCTACATACCACTTAAAAGAGATAATCAAAAAGCAATCAATACCCATATGAGCAGATATTAACAGCAAGACCAACCTCCAAGAAGTAAACAATGCCCCAAGTCAAGGAATTATCAATGCTAATTTTTTGCATTCTAGAAATTGGAGTCTAGAATTTTTCTGAGCCTTCCTTGTGATTTCTCTCAGTGCTTCCTCTCTCCTTTCTATCTGTAGAATCGAGGCCCACGTTTATTAATTTTTGAACCAAACAAAGAGGTAGGCAAATGTGGAGAATAAATATAAGCAGTTATTAGATCTTGACCCTTTTACAGCTGCATGTTGAAAAAGTGAGTTCAGTTTGAGTAGTAAATATTCCAGGGGAAGCCCTGCCTTCTGCTGGCTAGAGAAGGAAGTTCATTTTAGCTACTGATTAAACCAAGTTAACTCCCTTGGTTTATTTCAAGAAGAAAAAAAATCCCAGATCATCCATAGCTCTGTAAAATCATGCTAAACCGAACGAATCATATGCAAACGTCTGAAATTTCCAGAGCTTTTCATAATGCAAAATGGTATCAAAAAAAATCTAATAGAAACTGGCCAACAATGCCAGATTATTAAAGTGGAATTGAGAAGAAAGAGATGAATCTTCTAGACCCAGACCCTCCATGTTCACACTAGGCCCAAACACAAGAATGCCATAATAACTCAGCGACGTTTTCTTGTACACTCCATACCACAGGCTTATTCCATGAAAAATCAAAACACACTGGCGTTATCTATAGCACTTCATAAACTTTTATTAAGTTATTAAAATATGACAAATGTAAAAAAAATCTACTCATTCATACACAAGAGAAACAATTTATAAAAACAAGGGGCCTTGGCAGACAGTGTCCTGCACAAAATACCGTTAGACCGAAAAGGAAAGTCATTGTTCTGCCTCTGAAACTCTTGAGTGTCTCTAAGCACCCAACACAAACCAGCTTAATAGCAAGAATCCTCAATTTTTATTGCTTCTTACACAGAGTGACCTTAAAACTTCGCTGCAGCAGTAACACCTTAAGTGAGGGCTCAACTCTTATTCAGCATTTATATACATTCATACATATACATACACAAACACGTTTGTGTATGTATATATATACACACATATATATGTATACATATATAAATATATACATACATACACAAACACATATACATACAGATATACATATATATCTATAAACACACAGACATATATACACTCATTCACACACAAATACAGATGCTGGAGTATATATATAATCTTAGTACTATATTTGGTACTCAGAAAGTATTTGGGTTTTCAAAAAGCCAAACATCTGTATGGCTTAAGAACGGTTTATAAGCACTTGTGATTTGCAAGACATGACCTTGAGTCTGGGTGACGGAATCCCACCTTCATATACTCTTGGTAACCAATAAAACCATGATCCAAAGAAATACCCTCTAGGGCTACTAAACAAAATCATCTTTACCCAGTGAAAATGTGAATCTGAGCACTTAATTCCACAAGCTATAGGCTACAGCTTCTTCAGGCTGACACTTGCTCCAGAAAAGCAATTTTTACAAAACGAATTTGCTACTTGAGGTTCGTGGCCGTGACTTGTGGACAAATTAAGACACCGGGCAAGCTGGAATCTACTGAGGGTTGCAAGCCACCGTAATTCACAATATTAAATGGTAAGGCTGGATTGCTGCATGCACACACTGTGGTTTGTCTGAGCAAGACTGACCACAAACAACCCAAGGACGAATTTTTCAGAGGATGACACCGAAAAGGCACCACATAGGCAAGAGGATTCTTGAAAGAACAAAAAAACACACAACCAGCACCACCACCTATAGAAGCACCAACAAAATAGCTAAGGACGTTCTGCCTAATCAATATTTGACAGCTAGCAGAGGATGCAAATATTGACACGAAAACTGTCAACTTACCTGGTGGGGTATAAGATGAAGGCCTAAATCAGGGAGAGTCCAACCGTGGCAGCTTTCAGACCTGTGGACTTCAACTTCCAGAATTCTCATGAATTCTGGGAGTTGAATTCTGGGAGTTAAAAGTCCACAGGTCTTAAAGCTGCCAAGTTGGACAGCCCTGGCCTAAATGGATCAACGATCAGAGGGGAACATTCTAATGGCACTATTAAATTGGATTGAGATGTGCCCAGAAGAGTTGGTTGGGCAATGGCCTAGGAACCACCCATTCCTCTATGGGCACGTGTGCAATCACTGGATTAATATTAGGACTTAGTCTCAATTGAGATAAGCAGTGGGCCTATGCACATTTGGAGAAGGGTAGTTGCTTAGATTCCCTCTTCCTGCACCAGGCATCTTGTAAATAGTGCCAGATAGCCAAACCCTGAAGGAATTTCACGTTCTTGTTCCAAGCAGGAGTTTCATACCCATTCTCTACATCAACAAGCTCAGCAGAGTTTGCTCTCAAGGCCAAATGAAGTATCTGCCCATAAAAGGAGCTTAGAAAAGTTTGCTTCAGCCTCAGGGCTTCACCTGCCACTTAATGTTACCTTGAGGCTTTGTGGCATCAGCACAGAGATCCTGAAGAACTAGGGATTATAACGGTATTAAAAAGATAAAATTCCTGATGACGTTGAGGCGTGGTATGTTTGATCAAAGCAGCCAACGCCAATTTGAGGCTAAAAAGCTTTTCTCAACTTCGCTTGTAGGATGGATTACACCCTGATCCATGTGCAGGCAACCGGTTTGAGTGTCTGTCCTAAAACGCAATGAACTGAACGGCCCAACACTTTACAACCTAGAAAAAAAATGGAAGATGATGAAAAGACATAAACATATCACATATTAATGAGGGAGAAGATGGAGAGAGGTTTTGTGTAGATTCCATGGGTTTGTTTCCTCAGGCCCACAGTCCAAGGTCTTAAAATCAGGAATAATACATTTGTTCAAGGAGTGTTCCATACTGGTGTTCCACATTCCGGTCAGAGAAGGCCTGGTTTGAAATCACAACATTGAAACTTACAGATTTGTCCGATATTCCAGATGGGAGGTTTGGCACAGATCTCATGGTTTTGCATTCAAAGCATTCTATGAAAACACTGGTTGGAAAAAGTCCATCTTGTCATTCGAACGTTCGCAACTACATTCAACAGAACAATAGGACAACGCAAGCTGAAACCAGCACTGGGCTGCATTCCTGTAAAGCAGGGATGTCCAACTTTGGCAACTTGAAGACTTGTGGACTTCAACTCCCAGTATTCCCCAACCAGCAACGCTGGCTGCAGAATTCTGGAAGTTGAAGTCCATAGGTCTTAAAATTGCCAAAGTCAAACACCCCTGCTGTAAAGAGACTTATTTTATTGCTGGATTGCTATCGATCAGATGACTCATTGGGTGGCTACAAATACCAAATGGCAGCCTTTGAATCATTAGTCTTCTCCAGTCCCAGGTAATTTTAGGTACTGTTTCTTCAAAGGACTTCTCACAATTTATGCGTGCTTGCTGCAGATCTGAGTGATGCCGTTCTATTTTTTTAG